CAAGTTAAGCTAACTAAAGCTCGTGTTATGAGTACTAGATAACTGATACATATACATAGATATTTTTTTTTGTAATTAGTAAATACATACATATTATACATAGAAAACACTCAGACCGATACTAACAATCATACTCATGAATACAAATGTTTGTGCCGTGCGAAGAATCGAACCCGCGACCATCGGTCGCAATGCGGTGTGCTAGACCGCTAGACCACTGAGGTCGTCGTTATCATTATAATAATTATTTATTATAATGATACAAGTAAAGGGCATGGCTTGTACAGGTATATGACCACTCCTGTATAAGCAAATTACATAAACATATTCTATTCTCCCTAATTTGAATTTAAAAATGAATCTATATTTTTGTAAACATGTACATTGTATAAGCTTATTTGAAAAGAATAATAGCTGAGTTACTTGTAAGTTTTTTTATTGGTTGGTTTAGGCTACAGTCTGATTCTCAAGGCATGATAATGGTATGGTGCACTCCCCTGCGCTAACGGTATACGCTGGCGGGGCACCAGTGGAGGATGATAAGATGAGTATGACGTCAGGTCAGTTAGCTCATAGTGGCAAATTTACTAGAAGTTTATCACGATGGTTTCCAGGGGGGACCGCGTGGAGGTCAACCTGACATGGTACATTGCTAGCAATGTATTAATCCACATTACTATCTCTTTCCCCCCCCGGCTATTGTCAGGTGCTTAGACCTATAGCACTACGACCTACATACATAGATATATCGTGCTCGCCCTTTCTTCAAAGTTCACTACCTATACCCGTCAGGTACAAGAACTGAAGGATATTCTTAAGAGCGATGGTTCTTATCTCCTCAGGATAGAGTGAAAACTTTCTTGGCAGTTCTTCTTAGCTCGAAAGCAGGCCGAACTGACGATAGATTTGACATATCATAAGTCTGTAATAGACCTACATGAATAAATATGTTTTGATTGAATGATGGATATATTACTATACGGTTTTTCGTACATAATCAGTATTTTTAGCATTGCAATTGCCACCTTTTAGCACAGCAATTGTTTGCATTATTTCAATTTGTATATTTTGTCTTCATATGCAAAATGTCTTGTTTGACTTCACTAATGTAATGTGTATATCTGTTTTATTTTTGTTCTTATTATTACAGTGCCTTTTGTGTGTGTGTGTGCCTTTAACGTGAATAAAATTTTTATCTATCTATCTTACTTTAAAATTGACTTACTCTTCTTTTATAACCGTTATTGGTTACGCCATTTATAACATTTTTATTGTTAATAATTATATGTATTGTTATTTCGCTGGTCTGTTATATTTGCAGCCAAGGTTTGTATATTTGTAATTTAGTGGGTAAGTATGTACCTATAAAGTGGCGCCTCAGTCGCGTCACTGAGAGTGCAATTGAGCATCTATTCACTTTGATAAAGTAAAACGGTCTGATTTGTGCAAAATCACCTAATCTTGAATTTGGACAATATTTTTGAGTTTGTGCTTTATATCATTGTGATCTGTGCGACATCCGTTAGAGGAGGTCCAGGAGTACGAGCCCAATATATTGCAGGTAACAAGCCTGCAATATATGCTCTTGGAGACCACCGCAATATTTCTGAACCAGCGACTGTGCCATACCGTATGGTGGTGAAACCTTATTTTCTATATTTTCCGCAAATTCCCACCAGTTATTCTTTGTTACATAAATTCATTTTTGGTTTTATATTCTTAAGTGCAGTGCCGACTTATTAAATGTAATGTTCATAGCTTCGTGCTTGTAATATCAATGGATTATGCGCAGTTTATATAAATAAAGATCAGAAAGTGATTATTTCGTAATATTATGGTTATATCTTGTTTAAGTATCTGCCTACATAGACATTAACGCGAAGAAAGCTGATAAAAGCCGTCCTACGCCTTTAAATATGTATATGCAAAGATTGCTTTCTAAATATGCAGTATACAATAATAAACAGATTACATAATGTACCTAGGGATGCAGTAATAATAATATAAAACCAGGCAAATTGCCACAACGCCATCTAGTCCTAAGTTAAGCAGAGCTTGCATTATGGGTACTATAAAACTGATACAAATATAATTTCTCTGTAAGTCTTACTACGAGTAATATTATTAAGACGAAAGTTTGTAAGTATAGAAGGACGGATGTTTGTTACTCTTTCACGTAAAAACTACTGAACAGATTTTGATGAAACTTTACAATAATATAGCTTATGTATTAGAATAACACATAGGAGATATTTTATATTGAAATTTAACGCGGGCGAAACCGTGGGCACAGCTAGTAGGTTGTAATTTTAAAAAGATATTATGTAAATGTGGAGAAATATGATGATAATGACAAATGTCAAGTAATTGTAAAGTAGACGAAGGTGCGCGGGTCAGCTAGTACATCCTTACTCCTTACTAATATAATAAATGCGAAAGTAACTCTGTCTGTCTGTCTGTCTGTCTGTCTGGCTTTCACGCCAAAACTACTGAACCGATATAAATTAAATTTGGTACACAGATAATCTAGACCCTGAGAAAGGACATAGTCTACTTTTTAATGCGAAAATATGATTATAAGGGGTTGAAATTGGGGATGAAAGATTGAATGGAAGAATCGTCATTTTTGAAGCTAGAAGCTTGAAACTTATTTTTGAGGCTGCTTATTAAATACAAATAAATATGACATATAAAGTTTTTAAAAATGTTACCCTTAGGGGGTAAAATAAAATAGGGGATGAAAGTTTTTATGTAAATTTGACTTTTTTGAAGCTAGAAACTGATTTTTGAGGCTGTTAATTGAATATAAATAAACTATCAAATTATGTAAAAATGTTACCCTTAAGGGTGTAATATAAATTAGGGGATAAAAGATATAAGGTAAATTCGTCATTCAGTCTCATCTCGTCAGATCTGGCTTAAAGAGCCGGATCTATGAAACTTTTTCCATTGGCTTTTTTGGGTTAGTTTATAAAATACCCCACTAATATTATAACTGTAAAAGTAACTTTATCTGTCTGTCTGTCAGTCTCACTTACACACTAAAACTACTGAACCGATTTAAATGAATTTGCTACACAGTTAGTCTAGACCCTGAGAAAGGACATCAGACAGCTACTTTGAATGCGATAGAAGGGTTATAAGGGGTTGAAAGAGTTATGTATGGAAGTGTCGTCATTTTTTAAAATGAAATGATGAACCTTTTTATATAGTTTTTATTGGGTTAGGTCATTAAATATTTTTTTCATTATTTGGTCAAGGTCGCTATTTTACGCGGACGAAGTCGCGGGTACAGCTAGTATATAATATACATAGAAAACACCCAGACCGCTACAAACAATCATACTCATGAATACAAAACCTTTGCACTGTGCGAGGAATCTTAAAGCTGTTTTGTAAGGATAATAGGATGACACTGGGGTCAAGCCTTTCATGGATTACTAAGAATGACCTCGATGGTTTCCTATAAATCGGTATTATAGCTGTATGTTCCACTGAAAAACAGCATTGTGCCTTTAGGCAAGGCATAATGCTAGGAAGGGTTCTTAACACACAGTGACGTGGTGACAATACTACACAGTGGTGGATAAGATACGCATTTTACTTTATTATTTTGATTTTTTCTTTTCTTTGATTATGTAGTTCTTTTTTTTATACAATAATTTTATGTCTAATTTAATGCATTGTGTTATTTTCTGTTTATATGATACTAGCTACTCGTCCCGGCTTACATACCCGCACGTGTATACTTGAATTATATATATAAACCTTCCTCTTGAATCACTCTACCTATATAAAAAACGCTTCAAAATCCGTTGCGTAGTTTTAAAGATTTAAGCATACATAGGGACGGACAGACAGCGACAGCGACTTTGTTTTATACTATATAATGATGATAATTATTTATATCTTGCTGTCAGCATCATCATTGTTGTGTTGTGATGTAATAAATGTTTCTATATATATTCTATTCTGTAAGGTTTACATAAAAAGTTTATGGGTTGAGAAATTCTGTCTCTATACAGTGACAGGTATACTAATATAATACCTATGGGATCATTTGCCATTCTGTGTACGAAGTATAAAATGTAAATAAAGTTCGTGACAGATTACTGCTTTTGATTTATTTTGTCGCTGTTTCTTCTTCAGTTTACGTCCTGGGAGAGTTGATTGCTCGTGTATGAAACGCGTCACATACCCTTCATCTTATTATTAAACTTATGCAGTATATCTCTACGGCACAGATCAGTTAGAATACATAGTGCGTCTTCAGTATTTAAATATAATTTGTAATGTAGTAGTAGTTTGGTAAATTAATATAATTTGTGTAAATACAAACTGTTAAATGGCAAAGTAATTGGCGGTTTGTATCGACACAAAATTCTTATAGAATAGAATAGAATAGAATAGTAAATCATTTATTCAAATAAACTTAATTTAAGCACTTTCGAATAGTCATAACAATTTGTTTTTGATCTACCACTGGTTCGGAAAGCTGTCTCATCACAAGAAGAACGAGCAAGAAACTTGCGTGTTGCTCTTTTAAATAATCCTTGTAAGTTTACATTTACAAGTCGAAACGTGTGAATACAAACTACCAACCAGCACTAATTTTTTGGGTAAAATATACAATAAGATTAAATCAGTCGTAGTGATAAGAGCAGACCAGTCCCTACAAGCAGCACTCGTTCACGAGTATGACGGATGAGCCAGCCAACACTGCGCTCGACTATATTTTAGGGAGCCCAATGACTCGGTTAAAAATGTAATTTCGAACATTTATTTAAAAGCAACACGCAAGTTTCTTCCTCTTTCGTCTTGCAGTGAGTCTGCATTCCGAATGAGTGGTAGAATGAAAAAAATATGACAATTCAAAAGTTATATTAAGTTTATTTGAATAAAGATTCTTTCTGTTTCTATTTAATTAGCACTTATAATAGCTATTAGCGGAACCACTAGTGTAGTATAAAAGCACAGTTTCTTAAATCTATAATACTTACATGAGATATGAGTGGTAGATTCCAGGCAGCAGCCAGCTTGGCCTCGGTGTGGCAGGTGCTGTCGGGGCCGAAGAATGCCACCACGCCCAAGTCACGCATCTGGGTCATCACCCTGCAACCATATTTTAGGACAATAAACCATGTTCTAATTAGAATAAAAAGTATTAAATATGTAATATTTCATCGTTAAATACTGTGTTGATCCCATTGTTTAGGGTCGGCGCAGTATGCCATCTTCTCTGATCTCTATCAGCCGTCAGATCTGAGTATACTCTCCTTTTATGTAAATCATCTTTCACACAGGCCATCTACCTTTTAATCAGTCGTCCTCTACCTTTTCGTTCATCTACTTTTATTAAAAACCATTATTTTGTTTGTATTAAAATTAATTATTTAAATAATTTATTAATACTTTATGTGTCTATATCATTTCGTTTCATTCCGGTACGATTTGTATGTGTGAAACCACAAATTTTCAATGAGCACACCTGACCTGAGTGGTCAGGTGTGCTCACTTCTGTAAGCGCTACGACCTTCTCTATTGGTGATCAAATTCCAAGCGTTATTGAATCTACACCCATATTGCGACAGTAGATGCTCTTTTTTGGACTATAGAATATGCTACACTACTGACGAGTTTATGTTGCTTCGGCGCAATGTATGGTATTTTCGGCTATATACTGTATATAATATAAAATGTAGCTCGTCAGTCATCACAGAAATAGTGAATCTAAGGTAGCACCTTTAGCATCTTGTAGCACCACCAGAAGTACCTTCTACTAAATATAAATCGATTTCAATTGTAATAATAAATATAACCTAATAACCATTTCACAAGCACCGGCTTTCAAATAAAAAAGAATCATTAAATTTCAGTCACGTAGATAAAAGAAGAAGAATAAAAAATAACACACAAAAAATACAGACCAATTGACAACCTCCTCCATTTTTAAAGTCGGTTAAAAAGTGTGATAAGTAAATAATTCTTACCGCAGTGTAAAACTGTCCTTGTCCTTAGGCAGTGGTGGTCTCGAACGGCCTATGTCTGCGGCCACAAACCGCAACCTCAGCCCGGGTAGCAGGCTCGGTTCCCGGTTTACCGCGGCTACTGCCAGTGGCATAGCGCCCAACACCGTCTGCAAAGATACATTTTATTTATCTCCACAATTCTAGTATAATTTTATTATACTATGAATCACAATAAGTTAGCTAACTGCCAGTGGCATAGCGCCCAACACCGTCTGCAAAGATACATTTTGTTTATCTCCACAATTCTAGTATAATTTTATTATACTATGAATCACAATAAGTTAGCTAACTGACCCACGCAGCTTCGTCTACGACACATTTCCCCTTTTTATAATATTTTGCTGCTCCGCTCCTATAGGCCATAGCACGATGTTTAATGACCTATAGCTTTCTTCAACAAATGGGCTATTCAACTCTAAAATTATTTTTAAAATAGGATCAGTATGGGAAATAACCTCGAACATCCAATCTCACAAAATTTACCTCTTTACAATATCAGTATAGATGGCCAACATTTGTATATATCTTATAGATCAAGTCAATAGTTGGAGTCGTATCGTATTAAAAACTAAAGAGATTTATGGAAAATCTAAAGATCATTGAAGAGCACGACTCATAAATTTTGAATGAATATTAACTTGTGAAATAATGTAAAAACAACAAAAGTAGGGGAGCGTGGGGTACAGTGGTTACTTCTTTTTTACAAATGCTGTAACTTCATCTTTTCTACCCCTGATTTATCAATGGTTTAATGAAAACCTAGAAGATACATTTCAGTTTAAAACAACATTGCAAAAATAACCTTACAAATACTTAGTATCAATTACACTGTACCCCACGCTCACTATATAAAAAAATATCTTTGTTTGTAATGAACTAATGAGTTAATGTTGAATATAACATCAAAAAATACTTAACCGATTTACTATAATATATATGTATATAACTTAACGCATATAATTCAAAAGCACGTATATATACTTATATGTACTTTTGAATTATATGCATTTAAGTTAACACTATGCAACATTATCTACCAGTCGACTATGAGCGGTGAAAAATATACGCTCGCGGTAAGTAATAAGTCGATAATACAGTGTTTATTACATAATTTATATCACAATATTATTTCTACAGCCAATGAACAAATTTTGCAAATTATTTATAATTGCCTATTTATAATATTACATACAATTATAATCCGAAACGTCAAACTTTGACAAACAAAATACTTTACAATAATTATTACTGCCATTGGGAATTCAATGTTTATTATCAACAAGAACCTGAAGTTTCTGCGAAGCTATGTGGTTTAGTTATTCCCAGAAGGAAACTAAGAGTCGTCTTATAAATTACAAACAAACAAGTTTAATCAAAAAGAAAAATAAGTAAGTAGAAAGAAGCAATTAAAGTACTTTATATATATTAATATGTGAAATTTTTTTTGTACCAATTTTTTTTAATATCAATAAAATTCTGTTAACATAATGATTCATAGCATTACGTAGTTATATATTGTTCTCTATTTAATTTACTATTTATTATATAACTTTATCTAGCTTATATTGAATGCGTCTATATAATTCAGCTTTTAGGCATACATAGTGTTGGATTACAATCCAGTTTTGTACCGAACTACACGCTCCTAATCGTATTATTGTATTGATTTGTATGCTAATAATAAACTGTTTTGTATGCTAATAAATAAATAAATGTGTGGAGCAAAAACTTTGAAACCCTTTTTATGAAAATGGTCCCGACGAGGGAGTATGAAATTCAAAACTTATTGTTTATACAGAAAGAGTGCGGAACGCTAATATTTTTTTAATTATTTACAAAAATACATTACACATACTACTATGTATGTAGCACACACGCGTAGAAGTATACTTTTTAAATTAATTATAATCGAATTCCGATTATTGGGCCATCACTAGTTTTTTTAACATTAGTGATAATGGAATGATGGATCCGCCTGCGATAACAGTTTGTATGTAATACTTTATTGTACAATACAAATTATACACCATCCATACTAACAAAGTTGGTGTGGACTTTAAACTTTTATAAACCCGTTTATAATATTAGTAAGACAATAAAATCGATACCATTAGAAATTGGTTTAAAAGTACACAAACATAATATTTAACGTTACACGGAGAATTATCTTTTTAAACATGTGATCTCGTACTAAATATTCTACGACCCTCCTATGGCTTCTTGGCCAGTATTTAAAACGTATTTTTAAATCAAACTTATAGTTTCAGATATCATCGCGATCAAACCAACAAATTCAGCATTACATCTTAGAATAGATTACAGAACACAAATAATTAAAACTCATCAAAGTTTTTTTAAGTACACTGTAGACCCTGACTTTACTGGCGAGAACATCTTATAGCGCACTCAACTTTTAATTAACTCTCATTCATTGCCTAATGAATGTGCCATTATTCTTATAATAGGAAACATTTGATTAATGATTATAAATCCGAGAAATTATTGAAATCACCAAGTTATTTCAGAATTAATATTAGGTACTTATTTCGTAAACATTACATAGTATAAAATTTATATTTAGTATAAAATTTATATATAGTATAAAAGTCGCTGTTTGTCCCTATGTATGCTTAAATCTTTAAAACACCGCAACGAATTTTGTAGCAGTTTTTTTTAATAGATAGAGTGATTCTAGAGGAAAGTTTATATATATAATACATGTACACCCGGGCGAAGCCGGGGCGAGTAGCTAGTATATAGGAATATAGAGTTAGTTATAATACAAAATATACAAAAAGGTTTTTGTAACGGCCAAATTTGAACCCACTATGGTTTAATCACAAGATAGTAAACCACTAGACCAAAATACTTCTTATTATAATTATATTGTTTTGTATTGTAACTATCGAATAGTTTATTATATAATGTTTTAAATTTAACGCGGTACATTATGTACGAGTATAATTAGTAAAAATCACGGTCACAACCTACTGGACAGATTTACTCGTGAATGGGAATACAGATAGAGCATATCTATATTAGACGCCTCGGTGGTCAAGCAGTTATGCAGACCGCTTTACTTCCGATGGTCGCAGGTTCGATTTTTCGTACATTACAGATGTTTGTATTGGTTACAGTGTTGCGCACGTGACACCTCTGGTGTTTCAGGCGTCTATAGTCTATGATAACCGTTTACCATCAGATGGGCCGTATGCTTGTTTGCCGACGCAGTAGTAAAAAAAAGATGGCGGGCAGGCGTTGAATTGCCCACTATTACTAAAATTAATAATAGTATTTACTACTAATTAGTATTTAGATACGCGGTATCGTGTCAAGCCAAGTTCAAGTACCAGAACTTGCGAGCAGCACCGTATGTAATATTACACGGACCATTTGGAGCCACTTTTGAACCCCTCATAACTAAAAAACTATTTCACATAAACGTGTCAAATTTGGCTCACCTTATGCTGAAATATTTATCAAGAAATTATATTTTATGTTATGAATAAATTTCAGGACTGACCATTGAACTTGGCACCTATTTAGATCTCATTTCTTTTGGCATTGAAACCAAGCATATGATGATGATGATGATGTAATTTCGGCCACGGCGACTGTCTTAATCTTCGGTTTTGCCGTTAATGTGCTCGCATGTGGCTTATGTAGCCAAGGCATATATCATAATATTAAACTTGGCTCTCATTTCACATTTATATTTTTGATGGGTTATATACAACAGACTTAAATATTAAGTTAATAACATGTATTTATGCCCAAAGAATGTAATTTCTTAGACAGATGCCAAGGTCACATCAGACGAATGTCTTTTTATGATTTACAAAGGGATAATAACTCGTTGCGTTGCGAACATTCGTTGAATACATATCATAAACAATTCTCTCAGAGATATTCGAGTCATGCCAGTCGTCGGTGTTCTGGTTCTGTAATTATAATCTTCAAGACTGCAATTTTTCAGGGAGTAGTCAGGGGCGGCGTCGTGTTAACGCAATATTTGACGGCCATGTTTTCCTTCCGCAAACGAATTTCCTTCCGCTTAAAACCTTTTATACTTGTAAGAAATAATTTATATGTCTATATATTATCTTTATGAAATAATTGAATAGGAAACTATTCAAGTATTGTACTGACTATACAGCGCCATCTTACAATCAGTTAGATTAGAGACATTCGTGTTTATTTCATAACTTATTTATATTATAAAAATGTAATAATGATACAAAGTACAACAAGGAAATGCTAATTAATTATGTTATTTTCTAAAACTATTTTAAGTATTCTACGTTCCGTTATTAGAGGATAGGAATGAAACGACTACCCTTCTTCTTAAAAAGGGGTAATTGTTTCAGAAAGTTAGTGAGTTACGCGCTGGAGTTGGCACCAAGAGAAAATTTGAATAAACGGCTTGCATATCGATTGACTGTTTTTATTATTGCCACCTGATTTCTTATATACTGATTAAACTACCTTAACCTTCCACTCCGATCAACCCCCCGACCAATTCAAACGGGGATCCAAATTACAACGGCCTGAGCCGAGATTCGAAGCCCTAGCGGTGCCCTCAGACTAAAGTTGTATCCGTCAGGCGGGAGTTGATCTTGTGTGGTTTTAATACATGATTAATTTGATGTCTGCTACTTACATTTACACGCGGCTTCGACTACCTGACTATGACTGTAGGCAATGCAGGAACGCACAGGGGCATCTAATCCCAAGTTAAGTTTTGTAAAAAATATTTAACTTAAAATTCATAGCGCTGACAATGTTATAATTAAACAAAGATTGCAACTCTCAAACTAAAGTCGTATCCGTCCGGTGGGAGTTGTTTTCAGCCGCTCCATAAGTTCCTTCCGCAGATTCTGAGTACCATCTGCACTCGCCAACAGCATTAGAGTAGTCCAAAAAAAATTCTTAATCTTCTTTAATATTTGGAACCTACTGAACTTCAGCTGCGAATCCAAGAGTGGGTTCAGGAACTGTAACCTCACAAGCTTTTTTTTTGTTAATAATAATAGACCATATGGACTATAACTTTAAGGTTAATGTCAATTGTTAGTTATTATCAATTTTATCAGGTTGTCTACTTCTC